CGGAATTAAGATTGCTGGAAGAAATATCAACAACCTCTGATATGCAGACGATACCACTGATGGCAGAAAGTGAGGAGGAATTAAAGAACCTTGTAACGAGGGTGAAAGAGGAGAGTGCAAAAAACAGTCTGAAGCTCAACATCAAAAAAACTAAGATCATGGCCACTGGTCCCATCACCTCCTGGCAAATAGAAGATGCTCACTGGAAGGACAGATCCTGAAGCTGAGGCTCCAATATTTTGGCCATCTCATGAGAAGAGAAGACTCCCTGGAAAAGACCCTGATGTTGGGAAAGTGTGAGGGCAAGAAGAGAAGGGGATGACAGAGGACGGGATGATTGGGCAGTGTCATCGAAGCGATCGACTTGAATCTGACCCAACTCCGGGAGGCAGTGGAAGACAGGAGGGCCTGGCGTGCTCTGGTCCATGGGGTCACCAAGAGTCGGACACAACGACGATGAATGCACTGCAGTTTTAGGAAGATAACTTCAAAAGATGTCAGAGGATTCCAGACAAGAGACAATTTCATTTATGAGTTTGGTTTCTGTCCCTCCCTTCCTCTACTCTGCTCACAGGAGCGCATAGGCTTGCTTTCTGCCCATTTAACAAAAGTCCCAAAAGGTAGGTTTGGCTGAGAGTGAGTGATTAGGCTAAGGACACACCATGGGCAAAATCCTGCTCATGGCAGCTTAATGTAAAGTTACTCCGGCATAAATACGCTGGGCGTTACACCATGATGACAATGATAGCAATCACGTACCATTGAATCAATTCTCACTCAATGGTGGCCCTTTGCCAAGTAGAGAAGTCACACCCAAAAGGTAGGTTTGGCTGAGAGTGAGTGATTAGGCTAAGGACACACCATGGGCAAAATCCTGCTCATGGCAGCTTAATGTAAAGTTACTCCGGCATAAATACGCTGGGCGTTACACCATGATGACAATGATAGCAATCACATACCATTGAATCAATTCTCACTCAATGGTGGCCCTTTCCCAAGTAGAGAAGTCACACAAGTGCTGTACCCTTCCCTTCCAGTAGGGGCGCTGTGGGACTGCACAGCTGGCCCAAGGCCATCCAGGCTGGCTCTTCTCCCCGAGGAATCGAACTCCCACGCTCTGGCCCTTCAGCCAGGCACCTAAACCTGGCTTACACCATGCAGTTGGCCCCATTTCTCCAGCATGACCGATGGTGCAATGTGCTGGCAGAAGGGCTTTATTTAGGGAGTGCACATATGCCTCAGTATTTGGTGCAACCACCACGGGTGCCAGCTCAAATTGCATATGGCCAGTTGCGCAACAGGATCATGGCCGATGAGTTTCATGGATCAGCAGGGCTTTGAACTTGGACCTACCAAGTCCTAAGAGATATATAACAACTCTTAATATGCTCTTCATCGTTTAAGAACATTTCCACCAGATGTATCATTTAATAAATGAACACTGGCTTAGGACTTTTCAAAAGGAAAATGAAAACTTTGGCCGTGGATGCCAGCGTGACTTCCAAAAGAAGCTTCCAGGATCTAGGGCAGTATATCTGGGTATCAGGTTATTGACAGTCTTGGGCAGACATGTAGATGACCTCCGCCTACGTCCTTCTTGGGCTTCCCTAAACATCTGCCTGGCCCCACCACGCAGCCCTGGGTGGACCTGGGCGAAAGCAAAAGGCACCCCATTTTCTAAGCCATTTTCTCTCTTTGGGCTGGTTTGGCAGTGGCAACGGTTGGTTCTTTCAGAGCTGAAAAAGCTTCCTTTGCAAACTACACCTCCCAGAATTCCCTAGTGAGTAATTAGGTTTGCCGG